TCATGACATCCAGGTATGTATACAAGTGGAAGTTTGTAAAGGTGGGTACCGAGAACGTTAAAACCATTCGTCTCAGACTTGTCCTTCGTGGATTTATGGATACTGAGGCTCTCGACGTGGAAACATTCCCGGGAAACGCCCGAGGGCAGTCCCAACGACTCCTGGCAAGTGAGGCGGCATGCCATCCAGAGTGGATCTTAGCATCCATGGATATCGACAAGGCGTTCCTCAAAGGTTTGACCTATGAGGAACTTGCCCATGCCACCGGCGAGGAAACTCGCATGGTCTGCTTCACTCTTCCACCGGGAAGTGTCCAGGTACTTCGTACACTACCCGGCTTCTCATCCTATGACGAAAGCCGACACTGCCTCAGGTGCCTCAAACCAGGAACGGGTACAAAGGACGCTCCAAGAGCGTTCTCTCTCAAACTTCGTACGACCACACGAGCTATAGGCCTTGCACCGACCAGTTATGATCCTGAATTTGAATTCGGCCAAGATCTGCTAACGGCAAAACATGTCGATGATATTCACATGACAGGCCTAGAGAAAAATATAGACGACTATGTACAGCGTGTCGAAAAGGTGTTTGGCACATGCAATCTCAACAAACACACGCATACGAACTGCGCCGTTCGCTACACTAAGAATGATCAAGGGGATGTGGTCATGGATCAGGACGAGTATATTAAACAACTACGTCCTATCACACACCCAGAACTTACAGGAGCGGCGGCCGATGCCAAAGCCACGAAACTCATTACCGACATGTTCGTCAGCTTGCGAGGAGCCCTCGCCTATGCCTCTCTTATTCAAATCTGGCTCATGGTATACGTGGTCTCTCTCCAGGAAATCCAAGAGCCCACCAATCTGCAAGTCAGACGTCTGAATGCTGTGACGCGAAAGCTGATCAGCAGCCCGAAACGCATCACCTCCCCTCGGATGAAGCCGACGAATGAAGTTCACATCCACAGCGATTCGGGGTGTCGGAAACTCACCGGGGAGGAGGATGATGAGACCAAGGGCTACGGCATACGCGGGGCTAATGTACTACGGCGAGGAAACTCGCCTCAAGGCAAGCCCGTCGTTCACCTCTGTGACGGACTATGCAAATCACACCGGCCGCTGGTGAGGTCCAGCTATGCTGCGGAGGCACTCGCAGCTGCGCATAACCTCGATGAGTGTTACCCTACGCTCATCACTCTCCACGAGCTCAAGGCAGGAGCTCTGACTCCACGACAACTACGAGATATGCGTGAAGTTGGAGGCCTAGCCATCAAAGTATCTCTTAGACGCTGAGTCCGTTTATAAATCATTATCAAGCAAAGATCTTAAGATACCGACAGAGCGGACTCTGCTTGGACATATCAGTTGGATACGTGAGCTCATGGATATAGGTATAGTACATAACGTGCAGTGGTGTGATACTAAGGATATGACCGCAAACGGCATACAAAGGGAAGCATCGATCGGGAGCTGCTTCTGGAAGTAATGTCAGGCACTCAGTCATTCAAGTATGACGTGAAGCAGTTTGTTCCCCTTCGGGGTCCCGAGGACAGAAACAAACCCAAGTCTAATCAATTTTAGTCTGTCCTTGTTGCCCCCCGCGGTCCAATTTGCCAGCATGGGCGCCTACTGCAGAGGCGCCCTTCTAGTTGCTCGGAAACGAGCCTTGCACTTCACGCCTGGCAGCCAGCCGGCTTTATATGACTCAGGCTCTTTGCCTTAATACATATTTGCTCGGTGAGGTATGGTCCGTTTGGCTTACCTCTAACTGAGCCGATGGCCCTTCATCGTTCGAAGGGGCTATCTTGTATTTGCGTGAAATGCCTTGCGAGGAAACTCGCCTTACAGTCTGGTGTTAGGCCAGACTGTACACACTGTTTTCTTTCTTGCAAACAGTTGCGCGCGCGGCCTTTGTAGAGCCTAACGGCTGCACGGCTATGCTCTCCGTCTCCTCCCCTCCCGACTTTAAGGGTAGCTCTTTGGGAGATGTTATAGTATCGGGAGCATAGCTCGCGCGCCGTTGCCTTTGGCTCAAGGCACGCGCGCCCTACTTGCCCGGACACTTACCTTAGCGTTCGCTATGTGCTGGAAAGACCGATACATCGATCTTATCCCATCATGCCCGTCCATTCCCCATACTGAACCACCCCAGCAGGGTAATGGGCGCTATCTGCCATTCGATTCCCATGGGAGCGGATGTTATTTGAGTTACCAGGCTCACTTTCGACTAAGAGGAGGACCGCCCGATGCGAGGCGGGAGCCACGTGGCAGAATGCCAAGGGAATCTAAGAAAGCAACATCCAAAATTCCAGCGGCCGAGACGGCAGGAACACCTCCTTGTTTTCTTTATATGTATATATAAAAAACGAACGAGAAAAAAACGCGCAACATGTTCAAGGAAAGTGACACCCCGATCGAGTCCTCGTCGCCCCCCCACACGCATGTTCCTCTGAATGTTTGTTTTTGTGTTTGTTCAGAGGGTTTCCTAACGTCTCGGCCGCCAGCGCGTTGGATTGTGTGTTTTAAGTGTTTGTCTTAGGGTTGCGTGGCATCCTGCCACCGCCGATCCCCGCAGACTGGTTGATTCCCACCCGCCAGGGGCCAGACCTATGGCGCAACCGATAGGAGATGGTTTTATTCTCGGCCGCCGAGTGCGCAAGTTATGGCGCAACCGAAACGAGGCGGTTTTAGTATCGGCCGCCGAGGGCGCAATTTATGGCGCAACCGATTGGATATTGTTTCATTCTCGGCCGCCGAAGCGCAACCTATGGCGCAACCGATAGGAGGAGACGGTTTCATTCTCGGCCGCCGAGGGCGCAACCTATGGCGCAACCTATGGCGTTGAGCCGTTCTCTTGAACCGCACGCGGGCCAGCGAGGGCGTCGAGGACCGAGGCGGCATGAGAAGGAGGATGAGCAGGAGGAGGAAGAGAAACGAGGACGAGGTCCTAGGCGAAGACAACGAGGAGGAGCTGGGGCAGGAGGAAGACGAGGAAGACGAGCAGGATGAGGAGGACGAGGAGGAGGAGGACGACGATGAGGATTGGGAGGAACACGGGTAGTACGAGGACGAAGTGTGGGCATTCGAGTGCGCGCGTGCGGGGCCACGCCCGAATTATGCTCGCCGTTTGGGCTGGTGGCGGGGCCCGCGCAGCGATCTGTCTTGTTATTTCTCGGGCTCGGTGTCGACGTGGGCCCCCCGCACACACAGACACATACACACACACACACGCAACGCACACGCACACGCACGCGCGCATGCACACCAATGCGCACGCGCACGCGCACGTGCACGTGCACGCGCACGCACACGCACACGCACACGCACACGCACACGCACACCAATGCGCACGCGCGCGCGCTCGCGCTCGCGCACGTGCACGTGCGCGCGCACGCGCGCGCACACGCGCACGCAAACGACACGCACACACAAACACACAAACACACAAACACACACACACACACACACACAACACACACACACACACACAACACACACACGCACACGCACACGACACACGCACACCCACGCACACGCACACGCAAACGCACACGCACACGCACACGCCCAAGCCACACGCACACGCCCACCCACGCACCCACGCCCACGCCCACGCCACGCCCCGCCCACGCCCACGCCCACGCCACGCCCACGCCCACGCCCACGCCACGCCCACGCACGCCACCCACGCCCACGTCGCACCGCCACACGCCCGCACGCGCACCGCGGCGCACACGCACGCGCACGCGCACGCGCACGCGCAGCGCACGCGCACGCGCACACGCACACGCACACCCACACACACACACACCCAAACGCACACGCACACGCACACGCACACGCCAACGCACACGCACACGCACACGCCCACGCCCTCGCCCTCGCCCACGCCCACGCTCACGCCCACGTCCACGCCCACGCCCACGCCCACGCGCACGCGCACGCGCACGCCCACGCGCACGCGCACGCGCACACGCGCACGCGCACACGCGCACACGCGCACACGCGCACACGCGCGTACGCGCACACGCGCACACGCGCACACGCGCACACGCGCACGCACACGCACACGCGCACACGCCTACACGTGCACACGCGCACACGCGCACACGCGCACACGCGCACACGCACACGCGCACACGCGCGCACGCGCACGCCCGCTCGCGCTCACGCGCGCACACGCGCACACGCGCACACGCGCACGCCCGCACGCGCGCACGCGCGCACACGCGCACGCGCGCACACGCGCACGTGCGCACACGCGCACGTGCGCACACGCGCACACGCGCACATGCACACACACGCGCACGCACACACACACACACTCACACACACACGCACACTTGCACACACTTACACACACTTACACACACTTACACACAACACACAAGAAACAACACACAACACACAACACGCACAACACACAACACACAACACACAACAAACACAAACACACATGGTTCAAGGGCTGGCTGGAGGCCGCGAAGTGACTCGCGATCCGCGAGCCGCGATTCCTCATCGTCGTCCTCCCCGTCGTCATCCTACGGTCGAACCGAGATATATGATGGAGGTCGGTTAGGGGAGGATACCCTAGTCCTCTTCGTGTTTGTTGGACGTTCTTGTGCATCCTGGGGAGAGTACCCCTTGGATGCTAAGGTGTTTTGGCCGACGGAGGGTCTCATGTGCTTGAGGGATGCGTTTCTGGCCCAGGGCCTGGGCCCGACTGTATTTCAAGGGCCGGCACGAGGCCGCGAAGTGACTCGCGAGCCGCGATTCCTCGTCCTCGTCCTCCTCGCCCTCATCCTATGAGGGTGGGTCGGACAGGGCCTGGACGAGGATAAGTCTGTTCCAGGTTCCAGAGCGTTCTGGAACGCTCTGAGAGGGCCGCGGCGCCCGGGTCTCAGACATAATTGGCTTCTCCTCACCCGAGTTTATCTTCATCTTGGCTTCGGCTTCGAGAGCGCGTCGCTGCATGGATCGCCCTGCCGCCTGCAGGGGCGGCGTTCGTCGGCGAGGCCCTGAAGGTGCTCGCCGCGGTGTGCCGCGCGTCGCGGGAGCTGTTCCCGCTGGAGGCCGCCTTGCAGGCAGCCGTCAGCTTCCTCATGATCATCGCTCGCGTCCCGTCTCTCATCCTCCATCCTACCTGACCCTACCGTCCGCTCTCCTTCTCCATCCTCCTCTCTCTTCTGCCCTCCTCCTTCTCCTACTCCTCCTCCTTCTGTCCTCTCTTCCAATGTTCATTCGCCCCCTCCTCTCCCAACTCATCTGACAGCTTGCTTCTTATCATTTCCTCCCCTTCCTCCTCATCATCCTCCTCCTCCTGGGCCTCCTCCTCCTCCTCCTCGTCATCCTCCTCCTGGGCCTCCTCCTCCCCCTCCTCCTTCTCTTACAAATGGCGCCCGTCAGGCGGTTGAGAGCACGGTGGTGATCCGCATAGACGCCCTGAAGGCGTTGACGCCTCCAGAGGTCGGTTTCCTCCCTCCTCTTCATTATTCCTCCTTCTTTCTTCCTCTTTCCTCCTCATCCTCCTTCCTCCTCCTCCTCCTCATCATCGTCTCCCTCCTCTCTCCTTCTCCCCCTCTCTCTCTCTCTCTCTCTCTTCTCCCTTGTCCCTTCTCTGCCGCCTTTTCCCCTCTCCCTCCGTGGTCCTCCTCCCCAATCCCCCGTGGTCCTCCTCCCCAATCCCCCTCCTGTTCTCCCTCCTCGCCAGACGTGGAGACGAGGGACGGAGAGCGCTATCGGCATCTATCCCTCCACAATAACACATACGCATGAACACTCACCTCCTCCTCCTCCTCCTCCTCCTCCTCCTCCTCCTCCTCCTCCTCCTCTCCTCCTCCTCCTCCTCCTCCCCTTTGCCCTCCTCCTCTCCTCTCATCCTCCTCCTCCCCCTCCTACTCCTCTCCTCCCCCCCTCCACGCCCCCCCCTTCTTCCCCTCCTCCTCCCTGTTCAGGGAGGCCCCCCTCGTCGTCCTCCTCCTAGCTCGGGGGCGCCCCCCCTCCATTCTGTCGCGAATCTGTCCCACCGTCTCGCGTGCTTGTTCTCAGGATTAGACATCAGGTGATGGCGTTCATTATTTGGTTTGCGATATGATTGTTTTCGGTGGTTCAGAGCGGCGCTCCCGCTGCAGCGTGATCATCATGTTCGGATCGGCGCTGAGCTCCCGTCGTTCAGAATGGCGCTCTCGCACCAGCGCGGGCCATTGTTCTGGATCCGAGTCCTTCCTCATCGTTCTCCCCTATATGCCTTTCCCTCCTCCACCTTCCCCTGGTCCTCTGCTCCTCACGCGCCTTCCACTCCAGTAACCCCGCTGCTGCGGTTTGTCCTCATCCTCCGTTTCCTCCTGCTTAGCCCCCTTTTCTGCGCATAACACGATGGGGTCCGAGTGGGAGTTACAGGTCCACCATGACACGCATCTGCGGATACATACGAGAGTGCGAACATGCGCTACCGAGGAACCTCATGTGTACTCATGTTGGGCCCTGCGTGGTCATGTCATGTTGCGCCCTGCGTTGTGGGAGTGTGCTCTGGGCGTGGGTCTTCGTGACGAGTTGAAGCTTCGCCGCCGCGCCCTTCGACGTAGAGTCTCCCGGCTGCGGGCAGATTATGGGAATGTGACCTTCGACATATAGTCTCGGGTGGCGGAGCGAACGCATCCATGTGCGTGTCGCCGTGCCCAGCGCAGCGACGGGAGATCCGCGACGCAGAGCTGGATGTCTCGGCGAGGCTGGAACAGAAGGGAGAAGAGGCGCGGAGGAGCCAAGCACTTCCATCTCCAGGCGTTCATGCACCGTCCGGCTCACGTGCTCAGAGAATCTGCTGTGGTGATTGAGCATTTCTCGGTCAACATATCCGCGCAAACCGTCCAGATTAACCCCAACGTCCATCTCCAGCATTGAGTTCCTGAGCTGCTCGCACGGAGGTGGCAGCGCGGACATGGCACAGGGCACCATACCTTTGACGGAGAGTCACCCGCGCGAACACGCTTGCGTGCAATCCAGAGCTGTCTGAGCTGGCGTGGGCCAGGGCGGTTGCATGTCTGGAGGATGATGGTGGCGCGCCCCCTTGCTTGAAAAATCCCCCAGCGTCTTCAGAACACCCTCAACAGTTGGAAACTATTTGTTCGGCGATTGTACTGACGGATTGGAGTCCGACCAATAGTGGAAATAATTGTTTCTCCGCGGCACCCGCCGCACCACAACGACAACGACGACGATATACGATGACGAATATGATTACGACCACGATTCGGCTACGACTACGAGTAATTAGCGACCACGACTTCTATTACGACTACGACTGCGAGCACGACTACGAGTACGAGTGCGACGGCGAAGATTGCGTCGATCTGTGTTGCAATCCTCCTACAAAAGAGCTCACACATCACTGTTCGTGCAGGGTGGTCTTCAGAGCATTGTTCGGTGGAAAAAAATGAGTCCCCACACATCATCCTGCGCGGCGAAAACGAATGGGAAACGCGCACATGGCCCGAGGCGCGGGCGCCGACGGCGAGCATCAAGACTGGACACGCGTCGGCGCAGATTGCAATCGCATCACAATTGCCTTGGCATCGCTCGGACGTGTGCATCTATCTTTCGGCGAGGACCATCGAGGAGCATCCTTGATCATTTGGCGAAAAAAACACGCACGAAACCGGAAAAAAACACAGGGAATGACGTCCGAGCGATGGCGAGGTTGCGCCGTGATGAAGGAGGATATTGCGAGAAACGCCTTCGGCGGCGAGTGTGTCGATCTATGCTGCAAGCCTCTGACAAGCGTGCTCAACAGTCCCCCGTCGCGCAGGGTAGCTCAAGGAGCACTCTTCGATAGAACAGGCATTACCCTGGCGAAGAAAACCCATTCTACACGCGCGGAAGATATCAACAAGACCGCTCGCTGCACAAGAACTCCTTTCGGTGGGGCCCGCAGTTCCCCTGAAAACTTCGATAGAGAAAGTCGGACCCGGCTCAGCACGCAGTCGCGCGATATAGCAGCGCATGCGGCGCGGAACACAAAGGCAAGGACAGTGGGAGCAGGAGGAGGGCTCATGGGCAACCTCACCTCTGAGCCGAGCCGCGTCGCGGATCATGCGGCATGCTCGTGGGGGGTGCGCCAGGACGTGAGGGGTGCGCCGAAACGGTGATGAGAATGATGATGGTGGCGGCGATGGCGATGGTGATGATGGTTGTGGTGATGACGGTGGTGAAGATGATGATGATGATGATGATGATGATGATGATGATGTGATGATGATGATGATGATGATGATGATGGTGATGGTGATGGTGATGGTGATGATGGTGATGGGATGATGTGATGACGATGATGATGATGATGATGATGATGATGATGATGATGATGATGATGATGATGATGATGATGATGATGATGATGATGATGATGATGATGATGATGATGATGATGATGATGATGATGATGATGGTGATGGTGATGGGGATGGTGATGGTGATGGTGATGGTGATGGTGATGGTGATGGTGATGGTGATGGTGATGGTGATGGTGATGGTGATGGTGATGGTGATTGTGATGGTGATGATGGTGATGGTGGTGATGGTGGTGATGGTGATGAGGCGAGGGTATAGAACATGAGGAAGACGTGGAAGGAGGAATGAAGAGGAAGAGGCGCGGAGGGGGGAGGGGGAGGAGGAAGGAAAGAAAGAAGGAAGGAGATGCGCGGCGCTGCGAATTGAAACCGGAGACCCAACACACAGGAGGGTTGGGACAAAAACCCAAACATTATCCAGCACGGAGAACACGAGTCGCAAGCCAATTGGTGGCCTGCGACGCGGGCGCCCCAAGAGATCCTCTTCCTCCTCCTCTTCCTCCTCCTTCTCCGCCTCCCCCTCCTCTTCGCCTCCCTTCCTTCTCCCCTCCTCCTCGTCCTCCTCCTCCATTCTCCCTCCCCCCCCGCTCAGGGAGGCCCCCTCCTCGTCCTCCTCCTAAGGTCGGGGTCGCCTGCCCCCCTGAATATATCGGGAAGATATCCCACCTTCCCGCGTGCGATTACACAGGGTTCAGCATCACGTGCTAGTTTTCACGCTGTGTTCTGCACAGATCTAGGTGTGATCTGTGTACACAGTTGGTGTATTCAATTGTGTATTATCGTGAGTGATTGTCTCTGTCTCTGCGTGTGCGTGCGCGTGCAGGTGCGCGTGTGCGTGTTCGTGTGCGTATGCGTGCGCGTGCGCTTGCGCATGCGCGTGCGCATGCGCGTGCGTGTGCGCGTGCGCGTGCGCGTGCGCGTGCGCGTGTGCGTGTGCGTGTGCGTGTGCGTGTTCGTGTGCGTGTCCGTGTGCGTGTGCGTGTGCCTATGTGCGTGTGCGTGTGTGTATGTGTGTGTGGGTGTCTGATGCGTGCGCGGAGGAGGAGTAGCGAGGATGGATGAGGAGGGGAGCTGTGCGAACGCGGGTGCGACGCGGGCAGGAGGAAAACCAGGAAGTGCCCCACTCCGCATGTGGGGGACCAACGCAATGGGAAGTGATGGGTGGGGCAGGATGTCAGCTATGGCGCGAGCGCACCTAGCTTGTGTGATCCCCTCGTTCTTCCCCGTCCGCTCCACAGGGTCCCTTTCGATCCGATCGACCCGACCCGCTCCACCCGACTCGTTCCATGCGATTCAGGTTCCTCCTCCTCCTCCTCCTCCTCCTCATGCGGCACGGTGTTTGCATGCCGTTGTTGTGCGTCTTGGCGCACCCGATCTGATCCAATTTCGATTCCGTGCCTCAGGATGTAACTCCTGGGAGGTTACATTCGGCATCGGCGCTGGCATATCCGTTGTCGAAATCCGGCAGAAGCTGGCTTGGTGTCCCGTTTTATTCGGCGCACTCCGGCCTGATCTGGTTGAGTGGTCCGCTAATCGGGCTCAATAATTCGTGGTCGTCCTCACGAAGCCTTCCCAGGAGTCGATGCAGACCTATCCCACGCGCATGGGACCGATTCTCTTCCTTGGCGGGAACGGGCGTGACCAGGTGGATGGTGCCCGCCCCCCACGCCAAGAGGTTGCGGCGGGCGGCCCGTGGCTGCTGCAGCGGATGTCCGCCGTCGAGGCCTCCGGGAGGGAAGGAAGGCGACACCACCACCACAAGGGGTGCCGACACTGGCGAGGAGGTCCACGATGCCTCCCCGAGCTGAGGATATCATCGAGAACAAACGAATCCCCAACCCTAGTAGCACGATGAAGGTGTGGCCTCACCTAGGTCCCCGTCTTCTTCCTGGGAATAATGAGCCTGGGCGCATTATTGGTCTGCAGCACCCCCTATCCCTGATATGCTTGGCCCTCCTACCTTAGGCCCCCCCCAAAAGGGTTAGGGGCATTGTCTGTTTATCAGGATAGGGGCGGTCTCGATCGGTGAAGGGTGACCACACCACCAGGACGACCCCCCCCCCTGTCTCGCGCTGGTGGTGGTGTCGCGTCTAGAGGCCATCGTCGTCAGGATGCCGGACGGCGCCTTCGACGCCCTCCCTGGCACGACAGCCCCCATCAGGCTGGCGGAGTCGTTGATGTGCCCCGCCTCTACCCCCGACTTGGTCTCCATGCCGAGCTTGTCATCCTCCGAGGCTTGCGATTTGTAGGTGCCCTGAGCTTCTCGCGCCGTGCAGGGGTCCAGGGCTGCTATCGGCCTCCAGGACCCCCTCTTCCTGTGTTCCCCCTCCTCATCCCTACGCCCCCCCCCTCATCCCTCCTCCTGCTCCTTCTTCTGCATCTCCTCCCCTTCGCTTTATCCCTGACACCTCGCGACGTTAAAAAGCCACGACGGACAAGTCTTCGTCGTTTGTAGCTTCAGGGGGCCCTTGCCGGGCCCGGGGGTCTTAAACAATTGCCCAAGCAAAGTACCCGAATTGCAGCAAAGGTGAACAGGTGAGTCGAGGAGCAGGATGTCGGTTAGTGAACACGTGCATTCCTATGTGATCTTTTGTGTTCGGGAGTTTTAGGCCAGATGCAGCCAGGACAGGGGTGAGATGGGATTCTTGTTATTGCCGAGACACCTCCGACTCCATCCTTCCTCCTCACTCAGACTCAACGACATTCAGAGTTCACACTCAGACTCACTCATCACATTCAGACTCACTCACACTCAGACTCACTCTCACTCAGACCCACTCAGACTCACCGGCGAGCAGATTGGAACCATGTCTCAAGCGAGGCGCTGGTTTCAGCACTCCCAAGGGGAGCCGCCAGGGTTTTCTCACGGGACCGTTCGCGCTCAGATTGCTGGAAGGTCTCAGGCGGTTTGCCTACTTGGATGCCCAGCTTCCTGTATATATATATATATATATATATATATATCCGTAAGGGCTTCGCCCCCTGCCGCCGGCCCCCTCTCTCGGAGAATGGGCCATGGAAGAGCTAAGTCATGAGGCCTTGGCGCTGTCGTGAAGCAGTATCGAAACTTCATGCGAAGCCGATTCGCAATCAGCAAAACCAACTGATCACAAGAGGGGTTACCACACCTGGCGATTGGTAAGACGTGTATGGTTTAAGGGCTTGGTTACCACACCTTGCGATTAAAGGGCCGAGGGAGTTCTCGCAGTTTGGGTTACCACGCCTTGCGATGGATGTGCGATGGATGTGCGTCTGGCAGAATTTCAGAAATGTGGCAAATCCCCACCCTGACCCCGCGGATCTGCGTGAGGGGTGGCACCGAATTTCAGAAATGTTGCAAATCCCCTATGTTTTTGGACCCTGACCTCGCGGATCTGCGTGAGGGGTGGCACCGAATTTCAGAAATGTTGCAAATCCCATGTGTTTTTGGACCCTGACCCCGCGGATCTGCGTGAGGGGTGGCACCGAATTTCAGAAATGTGGCAAATTCCATATGTTTTTAAACCCTGACACCGCGGATCTGCGTGAGGGGTGGCGCCGAATTTAAATGTGGCAAATCCCATGTGGTTTTGGACCCTGACCCCGCGGATCTGCGTGAGGGGTGGCGCCGAATTTCAGAATTGTAGCAAATTCCTTGTGTTGTTGGACCCTGACCCCGCGAGTCTGCGTGAGGGGTGGCACCGAATTTCAGAAATGTCGCAAATCCCATATGTTTTTGGACCCTGACCCCGCGGATCTGCGTGAGGGCTGGCACCGAATTTCAGAAATGTGGCAAATTCCATGTGTTTTTGGACCCTGACCCCGCGGATCTGCGTGAGGGGTGTCGATATCGAGCCCCCCCAGCAATTCAGACAACGCGCCCAGGAGACGCTAAAAATCCCGTTTGGGCCTCCCCCCCCCGCGCGCGGTCAATCAATTAGTTACAGTAACCAGCAAGAAGTCAACTAGTTATAGTAACCAGCAAGAAGCAGAACTGTAACACTGGAAACTAGAAACTACAACTGGTACAGGAAACTGCGAATCACGCGCCTCGCAGCCTGGTGGCCCCACAAGGGGGCCGGCGGATATGCTCAGAGCAGAGTGCGAGGACGTCTCGAGCGAGGCGCTGGTTTCAGCTTCTCCAGTGCGGGAGCCGCCAGGGTGCTCTCACGGGCCCGTTCACGCTCAGAGCGTGGCGATGCCTCCGGCGGGCTGCTTCTGTGTTTGGGGGGTGCCCGGCATCCTACATGTTCAGAGCAGAGTGCGAGGATGTCTCGAGCGAGGCGCTGGTTTCAGCTTCTCTGTTTGGGGGGTGCCCGACATCTTTTTTGCCTTCAGAGCAGAGTGCGAGGGTGTCTCAACCGAGGCGCTGGCTTCGGCTTCTCCCAAGGGGGAGCGCCGCCAGGGTGTCGTCACGGGCCCGTTCGCGCTCGTGTCGTGAGGCTGTCTCGAGCGGTTTGCGCGCTGGGGCTCCCAGCGGCAGCTTGCTGTTAGAGCAGGCTGTGAGGATGTCCCGGGCGAGGCGCTGTTTGGGGAGCCGCCAGGGGGGTAGTTGACTCCCCCGTTCGCGGCCAGGAGGAGGAGGAGGCGGAGCTCATTCTTCCCTCCCTCCGAGCTCCCTCCGCCCTGCGAGCGGATCTGAGTGTGAGTGAGTCTCAGTCTGAGTGAGTACATGCGTATGAGTCTGAGCATGCCTAAGTTTAGTGTGAGTGTACCTGAGCGCGAGCGGTCTAAGCATGACTGCGAGTGAGTCTGAATATGAGTGACCTGAAATGGAGCGGGCGGGAGGACAGAGGAGAGACGGCGACAAAGAGACAACTCCTTCCTTCTCCTCCTGCGTCATCCTCCGTCCTAGGCCGTCCTCCTTCCTCCTCCTCCTCCTCCTCCTCCTCCTCCTCCTCCTCCTCCTCCTTCTCCTCCTCATCATCCCCCCTCTCTTACCTATGATAGTGGCTTGTGTGGTCCGGTGTTGCCGTCATCGGAACCCCAGGATGCGAAGCCGGTCTCCGGGCAGGGGCCCAGGTTCTCCGGGGAGCCACACCGCGAAGCAGGCTCGCGGCGCCTCGGACGTCTGGGGATCCGAGGGCCCTGGGCCCCAGCAGGTGGGAGGCAGACCGAGGTGTCCACGTCCACTGCCTCCTGGGCCCGCCTCCTCCTCCTCCTCCTCCTCCTCCTCCTCCTCCTCCTCCTCCTCCTCCTCCTCCTCCCCCTCCTCTCCTGGGCCCTGGGGACCTGGGCCGTCCGAGGCGGTGAGCAGCACGGCAGTCCAGAGGCGCTGGAGGGAGGGCCGCTCTGGGCTCGGGAGGGGCTCGGTCGTTCGGGCCGTGCCTCTTAGATTCACCCCGTGGGACCTGTTTCCGTTTGCGGCCCAGGACCACCGTGGTCTAAGGAGCCCTTTCTTGCCTTATTTATCCAGGGGAACCAAAAAGTGACATAAACATAAAGACTCGGAGGTCCGCGCGGATTTCTCGGATCGGCGCCTCCGGCGCCGCCCCCTGCGGCGCCTCCGGCGCCGCCCTGGGCGCGCTCCGCGCGCCAGGGAGGGGGGTCCAGCGCCGATCCGAGAAATCCGCGCGGACCTCTGAGTTTTTATGTTTATGCCACTTTTTGTTCCCTTATGATCGGAGGTTGATGGACCTTCTACCCTGACACGTCGATGAGTGAATTGGCCATTTTCGGTTCGCGAGAGGGCGTCGCGGCCGTCATTTCTGCGTGTCCAGGTCCGTCGGTTTCGGTCGTAGGCAGTTCCCGCGAAAGGTTGGTTTATCAAAGGGAGGTTTGTCCACCGCCGAATTTAGCGTTCTTTCTCGTAGCACGATTACCGCTTACCTTCTGAAGAGAATTGCCTGAACCCCGGTTAGCGGGAGGGTTAGTTGGGGGGTGGTCGGAGTGTTGTCAGGAGGGGAAACACACAGACACAATTCATCGTCGACCCCCAGGAAGTTATGGAAGAATATGGGCAGTGGGGGGGAAGACAAACACCCAGGAACTACAGGACTACAGGAAAAGATGGGGAATCCTTTTATTTGTGCGTATTTATGTGTGTGTCCCAGGGCCCCTTCAGGTTGGGCGGGGCAGACCTTCGATGGGCATGTCGTTGCCTTTTGTCGAGCCGCGGCGCCCTGCTGCCCTGCCTCTTGGGGAGGCCAAACCCCAGGCCGCCTGCCAAGAGGGGGCGACGCAGATGGGGTGGGAGGATCGCGCCGCATCGCCGAGTGCATCGGCGACGCGACGCGGCAGGGGTTCCCCAATCCCGTCGTCGCCGATGCACTGCTGATGCTTCGGCGATGCGGCGCGATCCTCCGACCCCCAGTTGCCTCAGAACCACCCGGGTGGCCCATCCACTGCGGACCCTCGTTCTCGGCGGGCGTCACCTGCCCGCCGCATCGATCCTGGCGAGGCCCACTCTGGGCACAGAATCGGTGCACGCTCGAGAATTGCAAGCATGAGTAGAGACGCGTGGCTTAGCGACGGGCGCCATTTCCATGCAGAACTGGCACGTTCCAATTCGAGGATCTGGCTTGCGCTGTTAGCTAGCCTGGCGTGTGCCAGATACACGTCCGACGACTGAAGAACCACACTGTATCGCTACCTCGTCCTCATCAGGGCGCGCCACTGCAATAACAGTCACGTGTCGGAAGATTGGTGGCCAAACGAGCTCTTTTGGCGTGCCGACATGGGCAAGAGCGCGTTTTGCCGCTGTTGGCAGGGGGGTGGGGTTCAAACCACCCGCTCAACAAAAACAGAGGCAGGGGTCCAGACCCATCCCCGCCCTGGAACAACTATTCCGTGGGTCCCAAGGCTCCCCTAACCCCGCCTCGAAACTTATTCGGGTCCTGGCAACGAAGACGACGAAAACGCACGACAATCACGACGACCACGACGCTGGCTCCGACGCCGACGACGACGCAGACGACGACGCCGACGACGAGCAGAGTAGAGTAGGCGTAGTAGAGCATTATAGGAGAAGAGTAGAGGGTAGAGTAGAGTCGAGTCGAGAAGGGTAAGGTTGGATACGGTAGGTAGAGTAGGGTAGAGTAGGGTAGAGTAGAGTCGAGTAGACTAGGGATGTGTATGCCATGTTTGAGTAAAGACGAGTCGGGTTGAGAAGAGTAGATGTGTGTAGGGCAGAGCAGAAAGTTTAGAGCAGAGCAGAGCCTATTAGAGGAAAGCAGAGCTGTGTAGAATGGGAGTCGACTAGATCATAATATGTGCAAAGTAGACTAGAGTAGAATGTGGTAGGATAACCTAGGGTAGAGTCGTACAGGAGGGAAGAGTAAGAGTATAACACATGAGAAGGGTAGAGTATAGCAGAGAAGGAGTAGAGTACAGTAGAGTCAGTACCAAGTGATGTAGAGTAGGGTGTGTTTGGGTACG